CTTCTTCTTCTTCTTCTTCTTCTTCTTCTTCTAGATACAATGGTAGCAGATGGTGGTAAATGTCTGCTTACAACACTCCAAAGCAAGATATATGCTATGCCTGCATTCACTCCTCATGGGATTCCTTAATCAATCCCCCTTCACACATTTTTTTAAAGTTACCAATTTAAACCATCTACTCTCTTGTTATTTAGACTCATGTATGTCCCATGATAGCCAAGTGACTAACTTTTGTTCTATTATTGATATAAGGATAGTATCCATTCACCTGGGTCATCTATGCTAGCCTAAGACACATGTCTAATTTGATAATTCTTAGCAATGAGAATGTGTTCATATAGTATAGTTTGAGAAAACCTAGATGTCTGCTAATACCATGGAAATCAATTCATTTTATTTATACTAATTCACTGATGGAAAGAATACAGGAATAATTTGACTACACAACATAGTAACCTAACCTCAAACATTTGCTTTTTATATCTTCTTTAATAATTTGTCTGATATTTCTTAACAGCTATCAAAAATAAAAAAAATTTAAATTTACAACAACGAGTCTATTCTTTCTATGCAACACACTTTTCCCCTTCGGAACACAATTTGAGCACCTTTAAAGTGAGTCATGTGAATAGAGTAAATCTGTCCTACTTAAACACCATGACTGAAGCAACTTGGAGAAGATGAGCTTATTTGTTTTATGCTTCCAAATCACTGTTCATCTTCAAAGGAAGTCAGGACAGGAATTCAAGCAGGGCAGGAACCCGGAGGCAGCAGCTGATTGCTCAGGGATGACCTTGGCAATAATTTTCTCCTCAAATGGAGTGATTTTGCCAGTGCCCAGGTTCTTCTCCAGGTCCCTTTCCCACAACAACAAGGCTGTGATGAAGTAAGTGTACTCTGTCTCTTTGGACTGAACAAAATAACACTCGAAGACACCTTTCTTCCCATTCATGGCATCCACAGGGAGAAAACCAAAAAGGTTCCAGTGTTAGCCATGGACAGATTGACAGAACCTGCTCCAGCCTTGGCCCTCATGACTTCCGTGCCAGACTCCTGGATCCTCCTGGTGAGTGAGGTCAGCTGGTCCTGAGGAAAGTCAACCTTGGGGGTACACTGAGAGATCAAGGGGATGATGGTCTTCCCAGCGTGGCCACCAATGACAGGCACATTGACTTGAGCAAGATCCAAACCCTTCAGCTCTTCCACAAACACTTTCGCTCTGATAATGTCAAGGGTTGTCAACCGAAAATCTTGTTGGGGTTGTACATGCCGTGCTTCTTGAAAACTTCTGCTGTGATGGGGATGGTGGAATTAACTGGGTTGGCAATGATGCAGATCATGGCTTCAGGACAGTGCACAAGCGGCCATCAAGGTGGCCACAGTGGTAACTTTGGTGTTGAATAGTTCATCCCATGTCATTCCTGGCTTTCTGGACGTTCTGGCTGGGATCACCACCATATCACAATCTTTCAGGCAGTCTGTCAACTGTTCATGTCCTAGGTTGCCTTTCACATTCACTCTGGTCTCAATGTGACTCAGATCCAGTGCCACACCAGGTATGTGAGCAATATTGTAGAAGGTCAGGCATCTCACTACGGGGCTGTTCTTCAGGAGTAGTGAAAGGGGCTGCCCAATGCCCCCAGAAGCTCCCACCACTGCTACCTGGGCCAGGCGGGGCACGTACCTACAGGCGAGGGAGCTAATAGCAGACAAATCTAATCTCAGTTCTTAGCTTGATGAGATCTAGAGTCATCTGACAGACAGGAGACATGCCCACCTTGATTACGTTTCTAGTGGTGGCAAGACCTATCCATTCTGTGGTTGGCACAGTCTTGGACAATTTGGGCTGAGTACAAGTATTCATTGTTCTCTGCTTCTTGAATGTGGGTGCAATGTAGCTTCAAACTCCTGCTGCTGTGACTTCCACAACATTATGGGCTGTCTTCCTGAACAGATGAGAGCTGTCAGTGCAGTGAGAGAAGTTCAGACTAATCTCTTGTGACCTCAGACGGTAAAGCGAGGACATATGCACAATTGTTCTGTAGGTAATGGCTTGATTTAAGAGAGGCAGCAATCTCTTCCAGTTAGAGCTGACCAAAGCAGACTGGGTTTTTTGTTTGTTTGTTTGAGTGTGGGTTTCCTATCAAAACAAACCCTTTCCTCCTTGAGTTATTCTTTTCCTTTCTCTTCTTTTCTTTTTTCTTTTCTTTTTCTCATGCATTAGATAATAGCAACAGGAAAAGAAACTAAGACAGGAGATGAGAGCTGTCAGTGCAGTGAGAGAAGTTCAGACTAATCTCTTGTGACCTCAGACGGTAAAGCGAGGACATATGCACAATTGTTCTGTAGGTAATGGCTTGATTTAAGAGAGGCAGCAATCTCTTCCAGTTAGAGCTGACCAAAGCAGACTGGGTTTTTTGTTTGTTTGTTTGAGTGTGGGTTTCCTATACTGAAGGTCCAAACTCAGTCTAGTCTTCGCTTTCCTGGGATAGCAAAAGGGATTTGGTAGCTTCGGGGTTTCTCACTGGTCTCCCAGTGCTCACATGGATGGGTCTATGAACAGTATACCGCAAAGAGAGCTTAACTTTTGTTAGAGTCCAGAAACTTCTATGTAATCATTTTGGAGATGGAACTGAGGCACAGAGAGGTGAAAACTGAGGCACAGTTACATGGCCAATGGGAACATATTCTTGATGGCATTATGCTCCAATATTATAACCATGCTTCTCTTCATTTCTTCATTTTCTTTTTCTTTTCAGTGTCTCTGGTTGCTGAGTTGGTAATGAACACCACATACTTGAACTATGGGTTTTGGATTTTTTTTTGGAGACAGTTTCTCACTGTAGCTCTGGGCTGTCCTTAAACCTACTATGTTTAAAGGTATGTGCCAACACTCTGGGATGAGATTTTTTTTTAAATCCCATTCTCTCTTTCTCTCCATTCCCTCTATCCTTTCTTCCCGCCTCCATTCCTTTTCTCTCCCTTCTTCTTTCCCTCCATTCCCCTTTCCTTTCTTTTTCTCCCTTCCCTGTTCTCCCCCTTCTCTTTTCTCCTATCTCCCCTCCCTCCTTTTTCCTTCCCCCTCCTATTCTTCAGTTAATGTTTTTAGAGCTCACCATGGATGCTCTCTCGGAGAACAGATATTCTAAATAGGTTGAAGTAGGAACTTAGGCTAGTTCTGGGCTGGCACAGTCTTTCAGCCACTGTTCCTAAGTCCTTTACACTGTGGCGAGTCTTTCAGTGGGAAACTATTCTGCTGAGTCCTGGTTCACTAACCTGCTCTCTAAAAGCAGGTTCTGAAGAGACCTGAGTTTGTAACAGAGGCACATTCATTAGATTTCTTGATGCTTTGAAAAACACAAAACCATAAAGGATTCCTAGAAATCCTGTAACAACGGCCCCTGTTTAGTTTGAACTCAGAATTTCTTAACATTTGAACATTAAGGAAGGAGAACTCCATTTATACCTATACATGTTGCCCATTCCATCTATAATAAATATTATCCTATGAAATCCTATTACATGGTTTTGGTGTCCTGGAAAGTAGCAGCAAATGGCTTTGATGTCCTGTTACCTAATTTCTTCCAGATGCTCTGTCTCTCAATGGTTCCCTTCTCTCCCATTTTACAAGCTAAGGGGAAGATACGAAATTTAAGCTTTGTACATCCTGTATATGAACCATCCTCCACTGGGTTGGTCCTCTTTAAAGGGACTAAAGCTTTTTTCTCATCGCTCACCTTACTATTTTCCTCTAGGAAGCCTGTTATATTTAATACAACTTCCTTTGCCAGAGGTATAGAATGCTTATGTATGAGGTCTATATATTTCTTCATATATTCATATATTTCTAGGAATGCTTTCCAAGAATCCTGAACCTATTTGCAGCAATATATTTTAAAGGCAAGGTAAATCCACTCTGGAATTGAAAACTACTTGATTAACTAAGTAAGACTTTAGAAACACATTACAACTCGTTATATCACCGTGTCAATGTTTGCGCCAAGAGAAGTAAGTACTAGAAGAATCCTAGGCACCCAAGTGAGGCCAGTCATGGTAACATGAGTCAGGACAGCAGGATGATAAGATCAAACTCCTTAATCTGACCTACAATAGGGTGAAGAAATATGACAGCATGATTGTCTTGTCTTTCATGGGCAGTAATTGGTCTGGTGAACCTGAGACAGCAAAGGGCAACGTCGGAGTGAAATGAAAAGGGACTGACAACCCACTGTGTTTCACATCTATCTACGCAATTTCCCATTTAACCCTCATAATAAAGCTGAGAGAAACATTGTGGTTTTTTTCACTGTCTAAATGAGTGACCTGCATTGTCTAAATGAAGGGCCTGAAATATAAAGAGACTGAGTTATTTTTTTTTTAATCACCTAATTACTTCACATTGAAGTTGGTATTCAAACTCGGGTGCTTTGAATTTTAGTGGTGGTTCCAGGAGCTATTCAGAAAAGGGGAGACAAGCAAAGTTTGACTGAAATAATAATTTCAGTATTTCCACAGCCTGTGCCCTAGCCAGGTAAAGGCAGAAAATAAATTCTTGCATGGGAAAGAGACAAATTTTAGATGGAAATATAGCTTTGACTCTTTCCTGGGTCCTTCGGGAAACAAAGTAACAAAGGAGGGCAATGTGGGCTTTCCAAGGTGCTAAAGAAGTGAATGGATCAGTAGACAGATGTTCCCTATTATGTTCATGCCACAGAATATGAGGGGCCAGGGTCAAGGCTACAGGGTAGGGAGCACTACTGGTTTGTGTCAGTGTGAGGGCAAAGGGTGCAGGGGTTGGCTGCAACTGAAGTGTCAATAGTTAGAGCAGTTATCACAACTTCAGAAGAGATCAACACCTACTGTACTAAAGGATTTTTAAAAATCCAATAAATAAAGCTAAATGGAGCTGCTACGCTGAATGATGGCATGCAGCCATGGCTTACTGGCAACGTAGAACATCATTGCATAATAGCTGAGCACAACCAGCTTGCTGTGCCGGCAGCATGAGGCCCAGCCTGCAGAGAGCCAGAGAAAGATTCTGATGTGATGGAGCAAGTGACATGATTTGCAGGTGCTTTTGTGGAGCATTTCGTGGCTTGGCGACTTATCCAGGAGGTGGGAAAAGCTTGACCCCAGGCCAGCAATTCTGCTACTAATTTTGAGTTGGGAAAGAAGCCAGGAGGGGTGGGGACATGGTCTTGAATCCACAGGTGGTTTCTGATTTGTCTCTTAACGGGGAATGGAAGGGAAAACTCAGCAAGCCTCTACTATAGAGCATTTGTATATTCATCTTTAACAGACAAGTATCTCATGATAGGATTATTTAGCTTAACCATCTCTCTCTCTCTCTCTCTCTCTCTCTGTCTTTCTCTCCCTCTCTTTGTCTCGTGTGTGTGTGTGTGTGTGTGTGTGTGTGTGTGTATGTGTTTCCAAATACGCTTACAGGAATGGTTTCCATCAACTCTTGGGCTATAGCTGCTATGCCATGCCAGGAACGGGAAGAGGGGAGCCTGGACCACATTCTTTACCTCAAAAGGAGAAGGAATGAGCTCATGCTTTAAAACCTGTTCCTCCCCCATGCCACTGTTTCTCTGCCTTCCTTTGATTTTTCTGTTGCCCATCATGAGAAACACTGTTTTAATTTTAAGAAGAAAAACAAAAGGGAGCTATTTTAAAATAAAATATTAAATATGAGAGTGACTGAAGCTCTGCATGTTTTTTTTTCTTTTTAAATTAAAACAGAGTGCCAGTGTGTGGATATTGGAAATAGGTGAAGCTTGAGCTCTCCCTACAGGCTTTTGTTACAGTAGCTGTCTGAGAGGAGTGGCAGAAACTAAAAATCATCATGAAGCATCCACCGAAGAGTGATTTCCTTTGTCCAAGACAAAGTCACAAGCTGCCAGGGACACATTGCCACATTTTTGAGCCACAGGATCTTCTTTGCCTCTAGTGGCTCTCAGTTCTTTACTGGAAAATAGAAGGAGAATAATGATAAAAAACAAAAAACAAGCACAATAACAAAACTCAGAGCTACCAAGGCTGCTTTCTACTGTGTTGCTCTCTCCCCAGGCTTGGCTTTGAGAGGAAGGATTACATTGGACTTTCCCATCTTAGGCTGGGCTCCATATCCACTCCAGATGGGATTTCTATGGAATAATCCCCCAATAGCAGAAGTCCTCATTAAGAAACAAACAGACAGCAAAGTTGCTAATTGGAAAGCTCATACCCTAAACCCAAATGCAAAACTGCCCCTAGGAATTTTCCACTACAGCATCAGTCACGCATGGGATCAGAATAATAATTCATATTAGCCATCAGTAGTAATAATAATCAATAACAAGTTGTCAGTGATTGGTTATTTGTTGCATGTCGCACATTTTTCTGCCTTACCTTCCTGGGTCTTCTCAACAAGGTACACAAGGATGTGTGATAATCCTCTTTCACAGATGAACAGCAATCCCATTCCAAAATTAAGCCCCTGCCCAGGGTTGCCCAGCAAGTGAGACCTGGAGGCAGGGCTCAAATCCAAGGCCTTGACTATTAAACAACTGGCTAAACCAAACTGCCTTTGTTAACCTCATGCTATGCTGCCTCTGCTTTGTGACTTACGGGGATGCTTATAGGTGTTTGTGATGTAAAAGCAACTGTCACTTCCATGAGCTTCACTGTTCTTCAACAAGTACATTATTACTCATGGGAAGCTCCAAATGGACAAAGTCCTCAGCAGGCACATAAAACACTACTAAGAAGAACATGGCTGGTGAGAAGCATATGAGGGAGGATCCCAGGGGATGGATGTGTTTGATAAAGAATGAAGATTGTACTTTTTTATACCGTCCTCGCGAGGGTTCAGGGGATGTTGTGGGAGAGGGGGTAGAAAGGAAACAAGGAGAATGGCTGTGAACTATAACGTCTTCCAGGCAAGGCATGGCCATTCGAAATCCCACAGGCTCATAGCAAGTGAAGATGCCTGCATCAGGCTTGCACAAGAATGAGTCTGTCTTGGATGGAAGAGGGACTCAGGGGCCCTACTCATCACTCCTGAACGTAGATTCAGAGAGAGCCAAGATGACTGCCTTCAGTGGTGTACCCACTGTTGATGCTATGATACAACAGGTAGTTTCTGTCCAGTTGTCACACAGATAGCCCTGGTTAAACTAAATGACTCACAAAAGAAAACCAAAAGTCACAAATCATGGAAAAGTATATTGGAGGGCATGGGGGTGGTGCTGATAGTGACCACTGGTAGTTGAGGAAGCAGAGTAAACAGAATATATTAGACACAAGGATGAAATTGTCACATGACAAAATTAACAAAGCTTGAAAAAAACGAAAAGGGTGAAGAAAGTGGCGAGAAGGAAGCCTTAAACACAACGGAACACATGGCTCCCACCACTACTGAGTGAGCCAAGGAAACATACTGTTGGTATGAGAGTCAGTGTGGGGACGCTCTGAACTGAGCAACGGCAGAAAGCAGACAAGGAGAGCTTCGTTTGGGTTTCTAGGAGTTAGAAATTAGGGAAGGGATTTGACACTCATGTATTTTACGAATACTGCCTGAGAACTCTGGATAAAAAGCATTAAGTATTTCAAGCCTCTTGGTGCTAGGGATTGCGAGAGGCAGACAAATAAGCAATGGAGTGTCTGTCGTGGGCGCTATGATGGAAAGCGTACAAGGCACAGTGTGGGCAAATACAGACAAGTAGCTATCATGAAGTCACCACAGAAGAGGCAGCAGTCTATTAAGATCTTGAAGGATGAGGCAGCTTTTGCCCAATGAAATGGGAGGAGAGCTTGGAGAAGAATGGCATCCTGGGAGGAAGCAGGAGGTGCCGAGGCATTAAGGCTGGAGTCTCTGGGGATTTGTGAGTAGGTTTGAACAGATGACTGAAACAATGGAGTCGAAGAGGCTCTGGAGAGATGTAATCCCAGAGAAGCTGGAAGGGTCTGGATGCTTTGAATGGTGACGCTGAGAATTTGGATCACATTCCGTATGAAAAATACTTATGTTTTAAACGTCTCCCTTGAAGGGATATGGCTTGAGGAGTTGAGGAGATTGACACTCGAGGCAGGATAAGGTAGGGAGCAATGTGATGGATTGCGGAAATAAAGAAGAGAAACAAATGAAGAAAGGAAGGAAGTAAGGAAGGGAGAATCCAGGACTGACTGGAAGCTGGAAGTGGCCTTGTGCCATGTATTGAAACTAGCAGTGAAATCTGGGATTAGGATACATGGGATGACTCTGACATTTCATATGGAAAAAAAAAACTGGCTAGTTTTACAGAATGGTTAAGTTATACAATGGTTAATCTCATACAATGGGAAAATTTCCACTTTTGTACTATTTCATTCATCAAAGCAACCATATTCTTTAAACCTATCTATATCTTATGGAATCAGAATTTTAATGCTTACCAGGATGTCAGCAATCCTCTAATCCTAAACACCCCCTCAACTGACCCATCGTATAGATAAATCATTTATATGTGAGACAATTCATCTAGAGGAACATACATTAGAGTCAGGGCCATGAGGTGACCAGGTGTTTCTCACATAAGGGCCACATGCTACAGTTCTGCTTGGGCTCATTTCCAGGAAAACTACTCACATTTAGATCATTTTGTGTTCCTTTTAATTCAGTTGCCAGAGCCTCTACTTTAGCAGAGTTAGCATTCAATGCTCTGATCGGCTCAATCAAATGAATAAACGCAGCTCTGCTCTGTGAGAAGAATTTTGCCTCATCTTTCAGTACTTGGTCCTGTATTGCAGCTAGTAAACTGTTCATTCATATCCTTGTTGATGTTGAGTGGGAGGACAGATTGCAAATAAATGTATTAACAATTGATTTCCTTCTAGTCAAGAATATAACTTTTTATGTTTTCCATTTATGGCCAACATTGGAATGACTATGAGATTTTTGTAAGTTTAGGATAAAAAAAACCAAGAGAACTTTTTCTTAAGCCCTAGAAATTATCTCTTCAGGATAACAATTAGAAACATCATGGGAATTGTGGGCCTGTAAAATCCTTCCTAAGGCTGTGTTTATCTTTGTGTGAATGCCTTCTTACTAACAGCACTTGCTACATATTTTGCTTTTCTGGCTTCTCCAGTTCCCCAGACTCTTTGCTGAGAGATTACCTTGACAATTCAGTTGTGAATTTTCCTCTTCACCTCCAGTTCAAATGGTTTTGTTTGAATAAGTTTTTGAAAAATGAAAAAGAAAGTTATGAAAAGATACCAACTCAGTCCTGAATATATACAACTTTAAAAGATCTAATAATATATTACTTATAACTTAGCTCAGTGTATCTTACTGGCCTAGCTTACATGAGGCATTGAGTTTGAACCACAGCCTTGTTAACCAAATCAAACTGTAGTGGAAATACCAACTAGCAAAGAATCAAGCAGATGACTCAGAGAGTGGAAGAACTCAACTTTATTCACATGGATTTGAATCTAAGCTAATGCTTTGCAAATTCCAGCTTCTAGACACAGTTTCCTACAGCTTTTATAGGTTGGGATATGGTGCTGAAATCCCTGTCTATCTGATCTTCTATAGATGGTCTTTGAGTCCCATGGTCATCAAAGGAAATTTCCATCACACTTAGACATATTTACAGGCATATACATTGGAGGCTGGCAGTTAAAAATATTCCTTCCTTGGCAAACAGGATCTGTGATTTGAAGGGATAGCTGTGGTGATCATTTCTTCAGGCAATTTCTTGTAGCATTTGCCTTCCCAAGATAAGAAGGGGCTCTAAGAAGCTAGCGGGACTCGGCATGCTTAATTCGATATATAGCCCCTCCTTTAATAAGCCCCTTTGTTATAAGCATGCTACAGGGAAAGCACACACAGTCCAGCTTGAATAAGAGGAAAAGAAAAGCAGTCTTCAATAAAGTGGGATTGCTGACTTGCTTGCCGAGTCAGGCCAGGACTTAGTAACACGTCGGTTAGCCCTACCTTGGGTTCTAGATCCCAAATCAAGAACTTTCCTGTTTTGTGGATGAGGACTGGATTGCAGACTAGTGAGCAATAAGAGATAGCTCCACTGCAAGCTCATCAGCAGGTACATTCATCCACTTGGGCCACTTCAGGATCTCACCACAAAGTTGTG